CGATGATTGTAGATATATTACGCCTTGCCGGGGCTTGCGATGGCCGGTTGAGTGCCGTATAGGAGTAGGACGTGGGCACTGAATGTGTCCCCAGCCGGCATTGTAATAACCGTCGATGGTTACATAGTTATACGCTGGAAGAGGAGATCGTACTGGAGGTCCGGGTAGCGTAACTGGCAACGCATCTGCACGGTAAGCAGGAGTTGTGGGTTCGAGTCCCGCTCCGGGCCGATTTTTTCTCCCAGCGGTTCTAAATTATTTAAATTAATTAATTTATTTATAATTATTAATATTAATAAGAGATGGCGCCTAACGCTTACCTCTAGTACCAAATTCGTTATGTAATTAATATAGTAATTAGCCATAAAACTAGCCCGATGGATTTACGGCGTACGTTTGGAGATTAGCTATTACATCGGGTTTAGCGATGATTGTAGAGCTAATAAATGACCGTTCGAGCAATCAGCTTTATGCTGGATGTATGCATTTATGCTTCAATTGCTTCAAGAAGAGCAATCCAAAGATGAGGGATAGGAAAGATCCATTACGTGTGTCATTAGACAAAATATATGGTCTCTCCTAAATTTACAAATATTCTTCTTTCCTTAAATAAAACACAAACAGAACGAGCAATTATTTATTGTGAGATTGCCACAATTCCGGGCTGCAATTTTTAATCATATTTTTAAAATTTATTTCCTTTAAAACTATATGCTGTCCATCTCAAATTAGTAGTATCTTGCCCCTGTACATCATACTTTTCCTTTAACAATAGAGTTGTGCCAATCATCTATTAACTGCTTTCAGGGGGAAAAATTGAAATAACATAACTTCTGGTTTGCACTGGAAGTTCATATATAGTCAATCGAGGCCTCCTGCCCCTAAGGTTTCCATATCTGGTCTCGGATTTTGTCTATCTAACTCTGTTTGAGATTAATCTTCTTAATGTTCCAACTAATCTTCTAAGTATGAGGATATATTTTTAAAGAATAGCAACCACAAGTCATTATTAAATACAATACAGCACTATAAAAACTGGTTACAAATAATGGCATGCGCGCGTGTGTGTGCGTACGGTGTAGGGAATGCTGATTTATTTTGTAAACCTATTCCTATTCTATGAAATGTTTTCATTAATAACTACAGTAGAGTCCCGCTAGTCCGAACATGTTTCAGCCAGTGAAGAAGAAATTTTTTAGCTCGCAAAATATATGTTTTTTGTATTTTCCAGTTTAATTTAAACGGTATTAATGGTACAAAAAGATTTAGAATTCCACAACTAAAAAAATTGTATTTTATTGTAGTACTGTATTAATACTGTACAAAATTAATAAATCAGTGTTTCACATGGGCTACTTAAACAGCAGATCTATACTGTACTTACACACAAAAACAAAAGTCATTGATGGTATTGGATCCATATAAACCAGACCTGTTTTACTGCTTGCTTCTGCATTATTTCAATTATTCAGCTAATCTGAACGGGGTTCGGTTCCAATTAATTTGGACTATAGTGGGACTCTACTGTATATGCAAATTTGCAACAAGGCTGAGAACCAAGAGTTTTAATAAGCAGAAATTGGATACACTGCATTAAAATAAGTCAGTTGAATTTTATGTCGAGAATTGATATTCTATGAAGTAAGTCATGATATAAAATAAAATATGGAAAAAATTTCTCATGTATGTAAGTTATATATAATATGCTTAATGATGATAATTAAAATTTATGGTTTAACTAATCTTTTGTTTTGGGCCTAGTGCACTAAATAGAAATAAAGATTTAGAATAATAAAATAAAGTAATGATACTAAATACTTTTTGCTTTTGCTCTTTTTGCTTTCATATATATATATACAGTACATCCCCCTATAAAACCGTTTCCTATAGTTATGATTCCTATAAAAATTGTGGCAGTATCCATAAACAACGGTAAAAATAACTCCTATAATACGTAAAACGTCATCGGGCAGCCGAACTACTTTCCCGCCGTCCGTAGCGCCACGCTACGGACGTTTAGGCGGATAAATTGAGTTTAGTATCGTCTGTTCATATAATTATATATAAATTAGGTACTGTACATATAATTATATATTAATTATATATAAATTAGGTACTGTATATATAATTATATATTAACTTAATTTATTGTAACTTTATTATAATTAAATATATATTTTTCGCCGTCTAGCGTCACGCTACGGCGAGTTAGGCGACCTATCGTCTGTCCAGTACTGTAATTTTATACATTTCTTGTGAAAGAAACATTTCTTATTTAACGGCCATAAAAATTATTTATATTAAGGATGTCTCCAAAGGTCAACGAAGTTTTCGCAGAAAAATAATATCAGAAATCGCGGCCGCGGTTTGATGCGCTGTTCCGCGACGAAACCAAGCTTTAGCAACGGGCGTAGTCGAACGGTACACACTCGGTAAGCAATCCTACAATTTTTTGTTTATAACGTAGTTTATACGGATTATTTTCAAAAAAATATACGTATTTTGGAAATGTTGAGTCGAATTAGTCTAGAATCGATTAATTTTATGAAAGAAAACCTTTCAAACAGCCGTAGTCCGTAAACTATGATTCCTACAAAATTGATTCATAAAGAACGGAACGTATCTACCGTCTTATAGGGAGATCTACTGTGTATATATATATACACACACAGTATAAAAATTAATGGTGTAGAAATGGCAGAAGGATAGACAGAAACAAGGTTTTTTACCTTTGTGAATATGTCGTTTTGTATTTATACACTTATTAAAAATAAAAATTAATACTTAAATCATCCATCAGGCAGAAATTAATCAGGCAGAAATTATGCTACAAATATTAATTAATTAAGCATCATATTGGAGTAGGCTAATGGACATTGAACACATCCCTCAGGCAATGCCATGGGTAATGTTTGGATGGTTATATCTAAAGTTTAAATGTATCTGGAAGGAAGGAAGGAATTACTTGGAGGTCCAGGTGGCATAACTGATCAGCACACCACACAGTAAGTTGAAGTTGCAGACACTTCAGCATACAAAATTTTCAGGACACAACATGAAATTTGAACATTTTTGCTCCACGGTACGAACAAAAACTCACCATACGACGTTACATTAGTTTGCAGTGCCATTGCCATGATCATGTGTTCCTTCTGTTCATCGGTCTCAATCCGCATGTTTGCTTCGTCGTGGAAGGAGCTCTTTGATTTAGGAAATCTTGAGGTATCAGAAAGTGACTGATTTTATTGAAAAGAAACATCCCGAAAAGGTTCACACTGACATTATTGCTGCTCAGTTTAATGACCATCTATTAACTGCTTTCAGGGGGAAAAATTGAAATAACATAACTTCTGGTTTGCACTGGAAGTTCATATATTATAGTCAATCGAGGCCTCCTGCCCCTAAGGTTTCCATATCTGGTCTCGGATTTTATCTAGCTATCTCCGTTCTCATGATTAAGGAAAGGCAGCCGAACGGACGACAGTGGGAATTTACAGGTCTACAGTTTTTTCAAATTGCAGCCTAATTATTCAGAAATTAGTTAAAATAGAAACATGAATAAAGAGAAAAATTTGTAATTATTGAAATTGAGAATATTACAGTAAATTCCTTTTAAAAAGCTAACTTTATAGATAGCACATGTTTAAAGTTTTCATTTAAAATGGACTAGCCTTATCTAATTAAATATAGGTTTATGTACCGGCACAATGTATATTATTAATTTTTATTACGCTTACAATTTATCGAATGTCACGGCAATAACTTCGCCCTAAATGAAAAAAAAAAACACTAATTGGTTATATCTCGGCAACTCTGTTTTCCCGTAGCCTATACAGGCCTATATATCTATAGGAAACAGTTGCCGATTATCGGGAGTCGATTTCTCGCCCTCCAAATGCTTTGTCACTCCATAATAATTGTCATAATTTTTTACTTGGCGCAAGTTTATATATATATATATATATACACAAGTACTATTACCAAAGTTTTATTTTGCTTCTTTCTGTTAATTTCTGTAGAGAGAGGGGGGAAATAGCCTGCTCTCGGAACTGTTCCTTTTATATATATATTTTTAAAACTTTTAGAGTCCAAGGCTAGAATGATCTTGTCTAGGCTGACTGAAGATAGCCTCAGAACAAAGGGCTCATTCCAAGTCAGCTCTTAAGTTAAATGGTATAAAGAATTACACTTTATAATGGCAAGAATTGTCAAAAACAAAAATAATAAAAAAGTCATCACTATCAAAACAGATTTTTCATATAATTATTTGAGTAAATTGAATCTGTATTTATCAGTGCATAATTTGCTATTATTAATCCAATTTTATCTAATAAATTCCATTTTTTTTATATATGGTCATATTATTTTTATCTTGCAGTCACTATATGTGTNAATATACGTATTTTGGAAATGTTGAGTCGGATTAGTCTAGAATCGATTAATTTTATGGAAGAAAACCTTTCAATCAGCTGTAGTCCGTAAACTTGACACATGTCAGGCTGTGATTGGAAGGACTCATAAGAAATCGGATTCCTAAAGAATGGAACATATCTATGATCTTATAGGGGGGTCAACTGTATTATGATCCATTCTATCATAGGCATGACCATACTCACAATTGGCACAGAATAAAGACCTTCAGTATCAACAAGGTGGAAAGTGTAAAAAAGAAAAAAGTTCTTTAAATTTGCATTTTGAGTAACTTGTAATTATATGAAATCTCAATAGCATTGTTTTGATTAATTATTACAATAAAAATATTTACTTACAATTTTCTGCAATGAGGGCATCGGGCAAGAGCATTATTCAACGTGTTAAACTGTTAAAAAAAATGAATACAAAAATTATATATCCAATTTCAAGAAAATAATTAAACATATTCAATTATAGTGAGTTCCAATTACCCAAGGTTCATATTATCTGTGGGGAATTGCAGAAGAGTACCTTGTCAACAAAGACAAGCGAATGTAATACAATACAGTTTGCTTTACAAATCTTGGCCATATGATGCACTGTACTCAAAGCAGTGCTCTAGAAGATTAAAAAACTTTTAATTGTAATTTCATAGGTTTATATTTGCTTTAATTTATATAGTTGTCAATGAAATTGTTTCATTGTAAAAAGTAGGTTTAACCCAACTAAAAACAGTACATGTACACATTAATGCATCCAAATTCAGGTAAACAAAAACACATACCTGAAACCAGGACAAATTAGCTAAAAATAGTATTTTCACTAACTTTTTCATCTGTTTATAACAGACATTTTCAGATACAATACAATATATATTTTTATTTTGTTTAGTTTTGCATTATATGTACCTGAAGACATCTGTTACAAACAGATAAAAACATTAGTAAAAGTACTATTTTCTTTGCTTACAGTTAATCTTTGCTGGTTTCAAATTTGTGTCTTTGTTTACATGAGCATCCAAATTCAGCTTATTGAATAATTTATCATTCTGTATTACCAAGATTTTGTTTACTTGGGTACCCTAATTTACTTTACTTTAGTTAATTGAGACTCTACTGTAATTCAAAAATAAGTGATTATGCAAGAATAACACTAAATTCTTGTTATGCTTATTATAACAATATAAGTAATATGCCAAATAACTGTCATATTAAATTGGGTTACTTTGCCACAATTATTTTAAATTAATATCTAAATAATTTGTCACTAGAGGCAGGCATTAGGTACTGTACATCTCTTATTAAATTTAATCATTATAAAAGAGGGCACCTAACACTTGCCTCTAGTGACAAATTATTTAGAAATTAATTTAAAATAATTGCAGAGAAGTAACCTGATTGAATACGTCATTTGTTTGGCATATTACTAATATATTGGGTTTCATAATGTTTGTGCATGCATAACATAAGTTGAAAATAAAAGAAGAAATGTGTAGAAGTTGTACAACGATGATGGATATTTCATATTCATGTCAAAATGTATCCACATACCAAATCAGTAATTTTAAACTTGCTTAAAAGAATAGGTTGGACTTAAAGATATATGTAGAAGCTTCAAAAGTTTTCATTTGTGGTCATTACTTGCAATGAAATACAGTATGTCAACAGAATAGAGAAAATGCTGTCGGTCCATCGGCAACATTAGAGTTTGTTCTTGGCATTTAAGTGGTAACAATGGCTTCAAAGATATTAAAAGCATCCAAGAGTGATCAATGAGCTGTTATTCAGTTTTCGTAATGGAAAGATGTCAACCTGCTGAAATTTATCACCACATGTTAGCTGTTTATTGTAAATCTTATCAATAAAAATAACAACTGTGAAATAGTGTAGGAAGTTTTGCAGTCTTTACAGATTTACTGCGAGGTAGACAATTGTCCATGTCAACAATAATAGACCAAACTATAAAACTGGATTCACATATACACACTAGGATAGATGTGTTAAAAACAAAAACAATATCAAAAGAGGTTTGAATCTCTGTTGGGATTGTCTTATGGAATTTAGTATTACAAAGTGTGCCACATGTGATCCCTAAAGTGTGCCACATGTGATCCCTAAAGTGTGCTACATGTGATCCCTAAATTATCTGGGCAACCTAAAGAAATCTCAGAGAATGTTATCTCTGATTCATTTGGAACATTACAAGAGAAAAAAGTAATCACTTTATGCTTTAAAGCAATGATAATGCAGCAGTGCCATTCAACATGACCTTGCAAAAATTAGTTTAAAGCTGGCTTGTCACCATGAAAGACTTTTGCCATTGAACTTTAAACCTCCTGACATGATCACCATCAATAGCTACAGTACAACAGTGAATTGATTGCATGCTACAATCAAAAACAAGCATCATAAACCCACATTTGGAGTCATATTGTTCAAAGACAATGCCAGTTCACATGTTGCTGGAGTTGTCAAATATAAACTATGATGATTCAGACAGGAAACAACTACAAAATGAATTTTTCAGTGTTTTCGTTACTAAAGTTATTTTTTTTCAATGTACTACTTAGCTTTAATTTGAGTGTATTTTTCGTGTTGGAATGGATTATTTGGTTTTACATGTAATCATATGGGGAAAAATGATTCACCTTACGACATTTTCATGATACGATCTCAGTTTAAGAACGGATTAATTTCATATCCTGAGGTACTACTGTATGTATATATATATACACACTGATATAATATATCAATATAGGTCGCTCTGTCTATATATTTGATATTCGATAAAGGCATTTTGGATTTGTTGTTATATATAATGTACAGTACCATTGTAATGTTAACTGTAGTATATCTTAAGCTATCTCGTGACTTTAGCATGGCCTGTTGCCATTCATTTGTGCTGAAAATGATCATACAGCACAGTGCAGGATATGCTTTTACATTGTGCATATCCTGCACTGTGCAGTATCATGCATCCATATATAATGTATTTAAGTATTATGTATCATACTGCCTCAATGTATTCATTGTCACTATTAATTGCATTCTTGTTATGCAAACATCTATGTTGTGTGCATATCTTTCATTTTCTCTGTTTTGAAACCACCTATGTAGCTTATGTATTACTATAGCCTTATGTATGTTTTCTGTTTTTCTATGTATCATTAAATATAATGTTATTGAGATCCCCCAATTATGGTATTCAGTACCAGGAATGTACTTTGTATTGATACTTTCTGTAAATAAAAAATTGAATTGAGTTGAAGTCGGCCAGCCACTCCAGAGTGACTTAATCTGTGTAGAGGATCCTAGCAATGTTTTTTTATGAGTGGTCTGTCTTAAATATACAGTCGACCCCCCTATAATTACGATTCCTATAAAACTGCGAAAAAATTGTGACGGTATTCATAAAAAAAGGTAAAAAAAACTCCTATAATTACGTAAAACGTCATCGGGCAGCCGAACTACTTTCCCGCCGTCCGTAGCGCCACACTATGGAGAGATTTCTATCGTCTGGACAGTATTATATAAATTATATATAAATTAGGTACTGTACATATAATTATATATTAATTATATATAAATTAGGTACTGTATATATAATTATATATTAACTTATTGTAACTTTGTTATAATTAAATATATAATTTCCGCCGTCTAGCGTGGCGCCACGCTACGGAGATTTTTACGCTAACTATCGTCTGTACAGTATGTAAATTAGGTACCGTAAGTCTAATACAGTACTGTAATTTTATACATTTCTTGTGAAAGAAACATTTCTTATTCAACGGCGATTAAAATTATTTATATTAATGATGTCTCCAAAGTTCAACGAAGTTTTCGCAGAAAAATAAGTTGTTAGAAATCGGCCGCTATTTGCTGAGCTGTTCCGCGACGAAAACAAGCTTTAGCAATGGCGATGTCGAATGGTGCACACTCGGTAAGTAATCCTACAATTTTTTGTTTATAGCGTAGTTTATACGGATTATTCCCAAAAAAAATATACATATTTTGGAAATGTTGAGTCGGATTAGTCTAGAATCGATTAATTTTATGGAAGAAAACCTTTCAATCAGCTGTAGTCCGTAAACTTGACACATGTCAGGCTGTGATTGGAAGGACTCATAAGAAATCGGATTCCTAAAGAATGGAACATATCTATGATCTTATAGGGGGGTCAACTGTATTATGATCCATTCTATCATAGGCATGACCATACTCACAATTGGCACAGAATAAAGACCTTCAGTATCAACAAGGTGGAAAGTGTAAAAAAGAAAAAAGTTCTTTAAATTTGCATTTTGAGTAACTTGTAATTATATGAAATCTCAATAGCATTGTTTTGATTAATTATTACAATAAAAATATTTACTTACAATTTTCTGCAATGAGGGCATCGGGCAAGAGCATTATTCAACGTGTTAAACTGTTAAAAAAAATGAATACAAAAATTATATATCCAATTTCAAGAAAATAATTAAACATATTCAATTATAGTGAGTTCCAATTACCCAAGGTTCATATTATCTGTGGGGAATTGCAGAAGAGTACCTTGTCAACAAAGACAAGCGAATGTAATACAATACAGTTTGCTTTACAAATCTTGGCCATATGATGCACTGTACTCAAAGCAGTGCTCTAGAAGATTAAAAAACTTTTAATTGTAATTTCATAGGTTTATATTTGCTTTAATTTATATAGTTGTCAATGAAATTGTTTCATTGTAAAAAGTAGGTTTAACCCAACTAAAAACAGTACATGTACACATTAATGCATCCAAATTCAGGTAAACAAAAACACATACCTGAAACCAGGACAAATTAGCTAAAAATAGTATTTTCACTAACTTTTTCATCTGTTTATAACAGACATTTTCAGATACAATACAATATATATTTTTATTTTGTTTAGTTTTGCATTATATGTACCTGAAGACATCTGTTACAAACAGATAAAAACATTAGTAAAAGTACTATTTTCTTTGCTTACAGTTAATCTTTGCTGGTTTCAAATTTGTGTCTTTGTTTACATGAGCATCCAAATTCAGCTTATTGAATAATTTATCATTCTGTATTACCAAGATTTTGTTTACTTGGGTACCCTAATTTACTTTACTTTAGTTAATTGAGACTCTACTGTAATTCAAAAATAAGTGATTATGCAAGAATAACACTAAATTCTTGTTATGCTTATTATAACAATATAAGTAATATGCCAAATAACTGTCATATTAAATTGGGTTACTTTGCCACAATTATTTTAAATTAATATCTAAATAATTTGTCACTAGAGGCAGGCATTAGGTACTGTACATCTCTTATTAAATTTAATCATTATAAAAGAGGGCACCTAACACTTGCCTCTAGTGACAAATTATTTAGAAATTAATTTAAAATAATTGCAGAGAAGTAACCTGATTGAATACGTCATTTGTTTGGCATATTACTAATATATTGGGTTTCATAATGTTTGTGCATGCATAACATAAGTTGAAAATAAAAGAAGAAATGTGTAGAAGTTGTACAACGATGATGGATATTTCATATTCATGTCAAAATGTATCCACATACCAAATCAGTAATTTTAAACTTGCTTAAAAGAATAGGTTGGACTTAAAGATATATGTAGAAGCTTCAAAAGTTTTCATTTGTGGTCATTACTTGCAATGAAATACAGTATGTCAACAGAATAGAGAAAATGCTGTCGGTCCATCGGCAACATTAGAGTTTGTTCTTGGCATTTAAGTGGTAACAATGGCTTCAAAGATATTAAAAGCATCCAAGAGTGATCAATGAGCTGTTATTCAGTTTTCGTAATGGAAAGATGTCAACCTGCTGAAATTTATCACCACATGTTAGCTGTTTATTGTAAATCTTATCAATAAAAATAACAACTGTGAAATAGTGTAGGAAGTTTTGCAGTCTTTACAGATTTACTGCGAGGTAGACAATTGTCCATGTCAACAATAATAGACCAAACTATAAAACTGGATTCACATATACACACTAGGATAGATGTGTTAAAAACAAAAACAATATCAAAAGAGGTTTGAATCTCTGTTGGGATTGTCTTATGGAATTTAGTATTACAAAGTGTGCCACATGTGATCCCTAAAGTGTGCCACATGTGATCCCTAAAGTGTGCTACATGTGATCCCTAAATTATCTGGGCAACCTAAAGAAATCTCAGAGAATGTTATCTCTGATTCATTTGGAACATTACAAGAGAAAAAAGTAATCACTTTATGCTTTAAAGCAATGATAATGCAGCAGTGCCATTCAACATGACCTTGCAAAAATAAGTTTAAAGCTGGCTTGTCACCATGAAAGACTTTTGCCATTGAACTTTAAACCTCCTGACATGATCACCATCAATAGCTACAGTACAACAGTGAATTGATTGCATGCTACAATCAAAAACAAGCATCATAAACCCACATTTGGAGTCGTCATTGTTCAAAGACAATGCCAGTTCACATGTTGCTGGAGTTGTCAAAGATAAACTATGATGATTCAGACAGGAAACATTATCCCATCCATCATAGATACCTGATCTGTTGCTATGGAACTTTTGAATTTTTGAACCCATGAAGCAAGTGCTGAAAGATAAGTTTCAAATCAGATGCAAAAGTTGCAGACATTGTTTAAGAATGATTTCTAAAGCCAACTAAAAGAACTCGTCCAGGAAGGAATATTTTGTTCAGTGACACTGATGAGGGGACAGCATGAAATTTGGGGTTACCGATTTTGATCAAACTCAGTGAGGTTATAGTGTGTCCCCAACAACTGAAATTTGCTAAGCAATAAGGCAGGCAAAATAATCAAAATTAAAGAAGAAAATTGAAGTTTAAAATTACAAATCTTTTAAAATCTTTAAAATTTCTGCCATTTGTATAGCGGCCAGTGGGTTAGAGGGGCCGCACTGGTTTTATAATCGTGAGGTTTGTATTTTGAATCTCAGTGGTATCAATGTATGTTTTTTTGGTTTCTTTTTTTGTATAAAATTATAATTCTTGATATTTTTAAATTTATAATATTATCAGAAAGAAAAACTAATTTATTTTTAGAAAGCTACAAATGCACAATAAACAGAATAGTAAAACAATGAAATCCATCTGTTTAAAGCAGTGTTTTTCAACCTGTGGGTTGCGACCCCCATGGGTCACACCCGTGAAAGGGGTTCGCGGGTGAAAGAAAAAAAACACATGTTTGTAGGTCCTACATTACAATAAAAAAACTAGAATTTCAGTGTGAAGGCTGTGCCTGTTTATTTTACAGTACAATTGGTTTTTCGATCGATATTTAAAAAAAGAAAATTAAATATGTAGTTTTTAAAATCACTGATATAGTTTTAATATGGCCCTGGGGGTCGCCAGAATTTTTTTAACTTGTAAAGGGGTTGCATATTCAAGAAGGTTGAAAAATACTGGTTTAAAGTAACAAGTCAATGTCAAAAGCAGTTAACAAATGCTTCCTAACAATATTTAAAAAAACATTTTCTGTATTTTCATATATAGTACATAATAACTCTAGCAATAAACTCATTGTTCAACCTAAATGCATGTATCTTAGTTTGCTGAAGAATGAAAAGATGACCTTAATATCTTGTGCTAGTATTAATAGCACAGAATAGTACGGATATTGTTCTGCACGACAATATTACTAAATTTACATATTGCAAAAGCAGCCTTCAAAATCAAAACCTAAATTGCAGTTGATGGTTCTTCAACAATTTCAGAAGTTGCAAAGGCAGTAGAAAAAACCATCAAGCACTATGATATTTTCCAATGTACAAATGTAAATATGGTATGAATGATTCTACTCCAAATTAGTTGATGATGGAGAAGTATTTTTAAACATTAACCAGATTTGTTTTTCAAAATTGTATGTAAATCATCATTTTATTTTAAAAATCTACATTTATTCAATGCACATATTGCAGAAATGTTTATTGTTTCACATGCTTCTATGACCATTATCATCCACAAAATTGTGCTTATGAAAAGCAGATTGAATAATGTTAATAAAAATGTCTTTTTTATTTGTTTAAATATAATCCTCTTACCAAATACATTATAAATAAATGTTAGTACAATCCCAGTATGTACTGTACATGAATATTTGAAAATAATTTTTAAATAAATATAATTAATTTATAATGGCAATAATAATGTAATAAATTAATCATTTTTAAAATCATTTGCTCATTTATGATTTTTCATATCACCATACAATCTTTTAAACAGATAACCCATGTTCAGTATCAGTATATTTCTAGTAAAGAATCTTGTATGATTGCATGAACAAATTACAATACAAAATAAAATGTATCAGGAAAATACCTTCTTGGCCCCTTCTACCACTGGTTCTGACACACACATGGGCATTTTTTCTGCAGTGGCAAATGTTTCACCAATTTCAAATTATCATCAATTCTTTAAACTTTTGCAAAATGTGAAAATGGCAATTGAAAGCAGAAACACCAGATGACTGCCTCAATAGATTAAGGCAACACATTCTCCAATTTGTTTTCAACAAATAAAACTTTTAGAAGCCTTCTTGAAAGCAACATCAAAATTAGCAAACAAAATAGTTACTCTCTAAATTTCTATTGAGTTTTATAAAATTAAAAAAACTTTCATTTGAAATGTAATACAGTAATATGTTCAAAGCATTATATTTACCAGAACAAGTTTTTGTACTGAATATAATAATATTCATTATTATTATAATATTTACAAAAGTTTCTTAGTACAAGTTAGACATTCAAAAATCCGGCCATAGATAATCTGGTTCCTTCAGACTTCCAGCATGGATTTTGGAGTGCATTTTCGAATTTACTGCATTGGCATGCCATTTTTTCTGGAGGCACTTAATTAAAATTCTGTAAAACTATTTTATTTAATGTTTAATTTTCTTTCTTTAAAGGATTATACAAGTAGTCATTTTCTGTTAAATACATACAGCATATATAACCATAAAAAATCCGGCACTCCTCAGGTCCGGAGATTGCCAGATTTTTTAATGTCAACCTGTATCATTAACATAAGTTATTCTCTGCTTCAATTCAAATAATTCACTTCAAATAATTCAATAATTCACAAATAATTCAATTCAAATAATTAGAATGGGACAATTTTGGATAACTGATTTTTCAGATAACCAATCGTACTTGGTAGAGAAAGAATATTTAAAGGTATACATTGTTTCACATATAATATCATGGTTGGGCAATGCATGGCATTTAGTTGAAGCTCTGAAAGTTGTATGCAGTTTAGGAGCCTGTTTTTATGAAGCATGGTGACCATGTCACAGATTCATTAAACAGTATGTTCTAAATAAATTAAATAATAAACTAAACACTTTTAAACAAGGAAAATGTAAGTTAAACACCTCAATAATTGGTAAATATGGTCTAAAAACACACCCGTACACAAGCCAGTATAAACTCAAAAATATTTCCTTTGTTTAGCAAACTCAAAACTCATTATCAAACAAGCTTCATTATAACAAAAATAGTTAATATAATCCCTCAATACCATGGAGAGATTTAACTATACTAGGCCACTTGTTGTATACTTTTAAGTTTGTTAATGGAAATATTCTTATTTTATTAATTATGCAATGTTCATTCAGTTATTTTTCTGTAGGAATACATTAATTGCACAGGGACATACATGAACCTTTAGTGGTTTTAAAATTTGATCTAAATTCTGTATTCAATTTGATGTTTTTTCTTTAATAGACTTATATAACCTGAGGATGTCCAACTGATATAGCCAAAAAATATTTGTCTATATCAAAATATTGTTATATTAGATTATTTTTAATAAGAACTTTATATAAACTGCATTATAACTAATTGAGAATATAATGATTTTAAATTTAGTTTAAAATAAAGTTTTTAATTTTAAACAACTTACCAAAAACATATTTTCACAGTGCCCACAAGATACTCTTGCCATGCCAGGAACATTGGTGGTACCTGGCGTAGCAGAAATTTGAGCCAACTGAATAATTTTTTTACTGAAATAAATAAAATTATTATTTCTTTAAATTTCATATATTAAGTTTTAAAAATAATTTTAATCATTCTGATATCAGAAATAAATTCAATCATATCTAACTATATTGCGAAATTTCAATTGTAATAAATGTATGCATTATAAACGTTGTGATATTTTTTTCATATTAAATCATTCACATATTAATATCATTGATGACATAAGCATCATAAACAAAATATAATTTTATAAAAAGTTTACTATGGTCTTTCTAATTAAGTTATTATATACTGTAATTTCATGTGAATAACCCATGTATTGTGTGTTTAAAAGTCAATTTGAAAGCAAGTATAGGTTATGCAATGATGCAAGTCATCTGCTAGTTTTAACTAAAATTAGTAACTCAAACAAGTTTTCTTTTTGTATCATTCTAATTGTTTTATCCTTCGTCCTTTCCTTTTCCTTTGTCTAAACATACCAAGAATGTCTTTAACAAACATGAAAAAGCCTTTACATACTACACATTTATCTACCATTATGATTTTTTTCTAAAACCACTGAAGCCATATATGACTCACCTTTTAGGTCTTTCACATAATATCAGTGCACACAAAACAGAATACGATATCAAATAAATAGCCTTTATTGAGCTATTAAGGCTAAAAAATTAAGTAATTTGGCAGGAAGTATGCAGTTCGGTTGCCAACTTTTGTGAAATTTAATAATTATAAGTTAATTTAATTTTAGAATATTCTGGAAGACAAAAAATTGGCCAAAAGCAGAACTTGAACTTTTACCTGCTTACTGATGTGGTTATATCTAATTATTTAATTAATTAATTAGTCTGGAAGCAAAGTTCAGATAGAGATCTGGATAGCATAACTGACAATGCATATGTATGGTAATGAGGAATTGTGGGTTCAAGTCCTGCTCCAGGACAATCTTTTCTTCCTAAATATTCTAAACTTAAAATGTATTTATTTAAAGTTATTAATTTAACAAGAGATGGCAGCCTATCTATCTATCTGCCAAATTACTTAGTAATTATTTAGCCCTGATAGAGTTATTGGTCTATTAAGGCTAAATAAAGCTAGTCATTTGATATTTGAAATAATTATTGGGTTGACTGTATCTATTACAGAATATAACAAATTAAAAATCATAATAATGCTCTAGAAAACTGAATGGTTTGATTTAATTCTACAGATGTAAAATATTCATTGTTCTATAAATTCTGTTATTGCTTTTATAAACTATTGACTTATACTTTTGTAACTTCTACATATTTGAAGTGATTTAATAAAAATCTTAAAGCAAGAATAAATTCATTAATCCATTAATTTTTACCCAAGAAAAGTGTCATATTTTATGTCTATTGGAGTTTTAAGTATTTTTAAAAATTTTATTTATTATTTCATTATTTAATGAGACAAAATTGTATTCTAAATTAAAGTGACAGAAAAAATAATTTATTCTTGTTTATTCTTATGTGTTATTAGTTATTCCTTGGTTAAGATAATTAAATAATAAATAAATAAAATCTAATAATTTTCATACCAATTTGGTCTTGGACAAGAAATTTTTTGTGAAGTAGTTTTGCAAATAAGCAAACAATTACAAGGACACCTCACATACTTCTTCCCGGGTGGCGGCGTTTTAATAGGCTATATACATAAATAAAAAAATAAACTTGTTATTACATCTATATAAGATTATCAAAAATTTCATTTGCAATTTTCACAAATTAATTTGCATTCATTTACAATAATAAAAATTAGAGCACAGTCATTTTTATTTACTGTGCTTTAATTATTGTTCCTTGATTTTCATAAATTCAAAGCCATTTGCAAGAAGATACTATAATCCAAGTAATTTATTTTTTTTGCTTTGTTGTTGTTTTGTCATTCTCGCATTGTTTTCTCATTTTTGTCACTATCGCATTGGCTTTTTTATTTTAACCTTATTGAATTTTTTTCTTTTTTTTAATTACTTTGAATTGTTGTAATGGGAAGTAGCAAATATTGTCTGAGAGACATTGCTAAATAAAATAAAAAAATAAATAAATTTAATTAAATTTTTATTTTTAAAACAAGTCACAAACTGACTATCATTATCAATGAATCCAAACCTTTGTTAATTAACCAGAACAAATTCTAATTTAATAAGTACAAAAGTTCATTCACTTATAAGTTGATACACTTTATTCTGTAACAAAAATAATGCAAAATATCAAAAACAGAATCAAACTACAAGGGTAAAGTCAAAAATATATTTACTATCTGCTGTTTCAATTCCCACCAAACGTTTGATTATTTTACCCCTATATTTGAAATTGTAATATGTTTTGATATGTTCTGTTCAAGGGCAGTTACATGACATCTGTGAGATACCCTAGCACATTTTTCAACATTTCTTATATTTAAAATTTTATAAAATTCTGAAAAGTTCTATTCTCCTAACTTCAACTTGAATGATGTGCAGCTAACACATTTTGCAGTGCACAATTACTTTTGAGAAAAACCACTGGCAGTACAGTGCAATTGTTATGTCAGGATCATGCCTAGATGGTCAACTATTGCTTTGAATGAGTGTGACACGATGCAATAGCAATTTAAAATTAATTTATTCTTACAAGATTACTATTCCTTACACTTCTTTATTTTATACAACAAAAATAAGTTCTAATTCATTTTAAACGGGAGCACTGCACTATATGCAACAACAAGATACAGTAAGTGCCATGTTATTGCATGTCCTGCAGGGAGACAAAAATGAAAAAATAATTTTAACAACACAAACTATTAAAATTGTAAAATTTTCATAACTTTTTAAATTATACACTTAGTAATTTATGCTGTTGAGTATCAACCATGCATTACTTCTTCAATTACTTCACATTTCTCATATAGAAAAGCATTCCTGATTAAACAATCTGCAAAAAATTTTGATATTTCCTGTAATATTTTGAGCAATATTAACTTTTTAATTAAGATAATCAATTTTTGATAACTACATGACTATATTGCATAAAAAATTAAAATACAATTAAAATAATCAGTTCTGACAACACTGGTTGTTTATGACATGCTAAAGAAAACAAAATTATCATCATATGAAGTGTTCCAGCAGTATGTATTTCATTTTGCTTTTAATGATCAGAAACCTAATAGCTTTAGTTGTATATTTAAGACAGTTCAGATCTGGAAAAAAGAGATCTTAAATATACCTCAAATTATCTTTCCACTAGGCTCAATTACAATCCTACCATCCTAGTTTCCTACAAAAAGAAAAACTACACAGGATAGTTCACTTTAACATTTACTAAGAGCACAAAAAGATCTTTCCAACATTGCACTAGTATATGCATAGCTTATGGTACAGTACATTGCAATGTTTATAGTAAAATAAGTTAATTTTTTCAAAACTGGGACAGGCATAAAATGCATGGTAGTTTCACAATAATTTTTAACTTTTCCCATCTTTCTAAAGCACAAAGATAAAGGAACAATCATTTTAAGATTTAGCATAATGTATAAAAAACATGACTCTAAAAGTATAAATGAGAGAGCATTACAAAGCAATGCAAAATATCAGGGTTGGTCCATCAAACTGTCAGGACCATTAAAATTTAAATATAATACAAAATTTTAAACACACACAGATTAACACATAACATAAACAATAAAAATAAAAACAGTAAGTTATCATTTAAATATAAATTTCTAAAATTCAGACAAAAATAACTTTCTATTTAAATACAATTAAAGAATTACATACCAAACTTTTCAACTGAAATTACACAGTTATTAATACAGTACGCATTCACTAATCTGGCCACTCCTCACACAAAGGAGTGTCAGATTACCAAATGTATAGGTCTAAATGCAATGAATGATGATATTGAAAGGCAATGGGTCACAAGAAAGCAGGAAGGTAAATAACAAAGTGTACTTACATATAAGATTTAAAACTGAGTAAACAAAAAAATGTGATGTGTGACATGACTAAAATTTTCAAGGAAACTAAAAATTTTCATAGGTAATCACAATGGACACTTTGCAAAATAATTAGCAAGAGTCTACTGTATTCTAAAACAATACCACTAGGAGTTTGCAAAAGAAAAAATTAATAATGGTGGATGTAGGTGTACTGTAAGAATATTTGAAATCTGCATTGAGGCCTTTGGTGACATCATGGCAGGCACTTAATGCTTAGTTTTAAATAAAAATATGAATTGTATTTTTATTATATTTATCTGTGTTCTTTCTCTAATGCTTTTCAATTTAAAAAGAATATTTTTACATGTAATTGTTCAGCACTGTATAGCTGACCAAGGTGACACTGAGGAACACACAAAAGAAAACTTAGTGAAAATATGAAATGGGAAATAAACCTTAAAAAATGAGCTGCCAAGAGGTTTACAAAGTCAAAAAAAGTTGGGAGACGCTGTTCTAAAACATATGCAAAGGTACAAATTAAAAACTAAGTTATATTTTCGTATATGCTTTATGTTATTTTAGAATATGGACAATTTATGTTATAAATTTGGTTATCTTCAATAACCAAATTTAAATTACAAACAAGCATAATTCATTAAAAAATTATAATAGATTTGCATTTTTATCTCCTAATTGATTAATATGACTGTTGTTAATTTATGATACTAACTTATATGAAGCAAGATTACATTCCTAGAAATATGACTAACTGTAACATATCAAACAGAAATGATTACCACAAAAATATTATTTTCATTGACCATTTCTATTTAGTATAATATAATCTTTTAACTGCTTCATTGCAGAACACAAATTAATCTTTATTCACACATCTGCAACAAATTAAAAAACATTGAGTGAAACTTTTGAGAACAATAATAAAGTAGATCATCTTTTAAATCAACACATTTATCCAAATGGAAAAGTAAAAACAGGATTAACCTTTTTGAGGCAGCTCTCATGCCCTAAAAAGATACAGTGGAACCCCGGTTAACGAACGTCCTGGTTAACGACAAAATTGGTTAACGAACTTTTATTTTGCAAAAATTTTGTCTCGGATAACGAACTTAACAGTTTTTTGTGTCAAATTTGTAAGCTTGCCGACTTTTAGGGAAAATCAGTTAATCCTGTGTCGGTGATGGTCTAGGGTCCATTCGTACGTTAGTGGTGGTGGAAGAGACAAAGATGACAAGTATTTTACAGTGAAAATCGTTTATTAGAATGGGAAGATGCTTACATATTTGAGGTAGTTGGAAATGGCTTATCTACAGTATTTTCTCTCAGCACTGAAGAGTGGCGTATCGCTGGTCCTACAATAGTGCAAGCTGATCAGTCATAGCCCCAGAGCAGACGAGATGGGTTCGCTTGGTCACAGAAGCGATGGTAGGTGACAGAACTGCAACAACTGGAGCAGTCTGCGAGGCACAATACAAATTTTAGTGGGCACGACTTCAGGCTTAATCCAGATGAAAATGACACAGATTAATCGCCATAGAATTTTTAGGAAAACTGCATTTTGACCTTGAGATTCGGGGTTTTTATAGTATTTCTTCCTTGAATCTCACCTTACAATTAGTCCTGTGTCCCATTCCTCGCTTACCAATTGTTTTCTTCTTTGTCTCCAGGTGAAAACCGAAACCAGATCAGGTCACGAGAAAGGTTTGTTCCAAGGCGTTTATTTGACACCTGTTCATCGACTTCTGATCAGAGATTGTTGATAAACCTATAAGCCTTTCGCTCATAATTTAGCCTATTGTTTCTGCNCTCGGTAAGTAATCCTACAATTTTTTGTTTATAGCGTAGTTTATACGGATTATTCCCAAAAATAATATACATATTTTGGAAATGTTGAGTCGGATTAGTCTAGAATCGATTAATTTTATGGAAGAAAACCTTTCAATCAGCTGTAGTCCGTAAACTTGACACATGTCAGGCTGTGATTGGAAGGACTCATAAGAAATCGGATTCCTAAAGAATGGAACATATCTATGATCTTATAGGGGGGTCAACTGTATTATGATCCATTCTATCATAGGCATGACCAAACTCACAATTGGCACAGAATAAAGACCTTCAGTATCAACAAGGTGGAAAGTGTAAAAAAGAAAAAAGTTCTTTAAATTTGCATTTTGAGTAACTTGTAATTATATGAAATCTCAATAGCATTGTTTTGATTAATTATTACAATAAAAATATTTACTTACAATTTTCTGCAATGAGGGCATCGGGCAAGAGCATTATTCAACGTGTTAAACTGTTAAAAAAAATGAATACAAAAATTATATATCCAATTTCAAGAAAATAATTAAACATATTCAATTATAGTGAGTTCCAATTACCCAAGGTTCATATTATCTGTGGGGAATTGCAGAAGAGTACCTTGTCAACAAAGACAAGCGAATGTAATACAATACAGTTTGCTTTACAAATCTTGGCCATATGATGCACTGTACTCAAAGCAGTGCTCTAGAAGATTAAAAAACTTTTAATTGTAATTTCATAGGTTTATATTTGCTTTAATTTATATAGTTGTCAATGAAATTGTTTCATTGTAAAAAGTAGGTTTAACCCAACTAAAAACAGTACATGTACACATTAATGCATCCAAATTCAGGTAAACAAAAACACATACCTGAAACCAGGACAAATTAGCTAAAAATAGTATTTTCACTAACTTTTTCATCTGTTTATAACAGACATTTTCAGATACAATACAATATATATTTTTATTTTGTTTAGTTTTGCATTATATGTACCTGAAGACATCTGTTACAAACAGATAAAAACATTAGTAAAAGTACTATTTTCTTTGCTTACAGTTAATCTTTGCTGGTTTCAAATTTGTGTCTTTGTTTACATGAGCATCCAAATTCAGCTTATTGAATAATTTATCATTCTGTATTACCAAGATTTTGTTTACTTGGGTACCCTAATTTACTTTACTTTAGTTAATTGAGACTCTACTGTAATTCAAAAATAAGTGATTATGCAAGAATAACACTAAATTCTTGTTATGCTTATTATAACAATATAAGTAATATGCCAAATAACTGTCATATTAAATTGGGTTACTTTGCCACAATTATTTTAAATTAATATCTAAATAATTTGTCACTAGAGGCAGGCATTAGGTACTGTACATCTCTTATTAAATTTAATCATTATAAAAGAGGGCACCTAACACTTGCCTCTAGTGACAAATTATTTAGAAATTAATTTAAAATAATTGCAGAGAAGTAACCTGATTGAATACGTCATTTGTTTGGCATATTACTAATATATTGGGTTTCATAATGTTTGTGCATGCATAACATAAGTTGAAAATAAAAGAAGAAATGTGTAGAAGTTGTACAACGATGATGGATATTTCATATTCATGTCAAAATGTATCCACATACCAAATCAGTAATTTTAAACTTGCTTAAAAGAATAGGTTGGACTTAAAGATATATGTAGAAGCTTCAAAAGTTTTCATTTGTGGTCATTACTTGCAATGAAATACAGTATGTCAACAGAATAGAGAAAATGCTGTCGGTCCATCGGCAACATTAGAGTTTGTTCTTGGCATTTAAGTGGTAACAATGGCTTCAAAGATATTAAAAGCATCCAAGAGTGATCAATGAGCTGTTATTCAGTTTTCGTAATGGAAAGATGTCAACCTGCTGAAATTTATCACCACATGTTAGCTGTTTATTGTAAATCTTATCAATAAAAATAACAACTGTGAAATAGTGTAGGAAGTTTTGCAGTCTTTACAGATTTACTGCGAGGTAGACAATTGTCCATGTCAACAATAATAGACCAAACTATAAAACTGGATTCACATATACACACTAGGATAGATGTGTTAAAAACAAAAACAATATCAAAAGAGGTTTGAATCTCTGTTGGGATTGTCTTATGGAATTTAGTATTACAAAGTGTGCCACATGTGATCCCTAAAGTGTGCCACATGTGATCCCTAAAGTGTGCTACATGTGATCCCTAAATTATCTGGGCAACCTAAAGAAATCTCAGAGAATGTTATCTCTGATTCATTTGGAACATTACAAGAGAAAAAAGTAATCACTTTATGCTTTAAAGCAATGATAATGCAGCAGTGCCATTCAACATGACCTTGCAAAAATAAGTTTAAAGCTGGCTTGTCACCATGAAAGACTTTTGCCATTGAACTTTAAACCTCCTGACATGATCACCATCAATAGCTACAGTACAACAGTGAATTGATTGCATGCTACAATCAAAAACAAGCATCATAAACCCACATTTGGAGTCGTCATTGTTCAAAGACAATGCCAGTTCACATGTTGCTGGAGTTGTCAAAGATAAACTATGATGATTCAGACAGGAAACATTATCCCATCCATCATAGATACCTGATCTGTTGCTATGGAACTTTTGAATTTTTGAACCCATGAAGCAAGTGCTGAAAGATAAGTTTCAAATCAGATGCAAAAGTTGCAGACATTGTTTAAGAATGATTTCTAAAGCCAACTAAAAGAACTCGTCCAGGAAGGAATATTTTGTTCAGTGACACTGATGAGGGGACAGCATGAAATTTGGGGTTACCGATTTTGATCAAACTCAGTGAGGTTATAGTGTGTCCCCAACAACTGAAATTTGCTAAGCAATAAGGCAGGCAAAATAATCAAAATTAAAGAAGAAAATTGAAGTTTAAAATTACAAATCTTTTAAAATCTTTAAAATTTCTGCCATTTGTATAGCGGCCAGTGGGTTAGAGGGGCCGCACTGGTTTTATAATCGTGAGGTTTGTATTTTGAATCTCAGTGGTATCAATGTATGTTTTTTTGGTTTCTTTTTTTGTATAAAATTATAATTCTTGATATTTTTAAATTTATAATATTATCAGAAAGAAAAACTAATTTATTTTTAGAAAGCTACAAATGCACAATAAACAGAATAGTAAAACAATGAAATCCATCTGTTTAAAGCAGTGTTTTTCAACCTGTGGGTTGCGACCCCCATGGGTCACACCCGTGAAAGGGGTTCGCGGGTGAAAGAAAAAAAACACATGTTTGTAGGTCCTACATTACAATAAAAAAACTAGAATTTCAGTGTGAAGGCTGTGCCTGTTTATTTTACAGTACAATTGGTTTTTCGATCGATATTTAAAAAAAGAAAATTAAATACGTAGTTTTTAAAATCACTGATATAGTTTTAATATGGCCCTGGGGGTCGCCAGAATTTTTTTAACTTGTAAAGGGGTTGCATATTCAAGAAGGTTGAAAAATACTGGTTTAAAGTAACAAGTCAATGTCAAAAGCAGTTAACAAATGCTTCCTAACAATATTTAAAAAAACATTTTCTGTATTTTCATATATAGTACATAATAACTCTAGCAATAAACTCATTGTTCAACCTAAATGCATGTATCTTAGTTTGCTGAAGAATGAAAAGATGACCTTAATATCTTGTGCTAGTATTAATAGCACAGAATAGTACGGATATTGTTCTGCACGACAATATTACTAAATTTACATATTGCAAAAGCAGCCTTCAAAATCAAAACCTAAATTGCAGTTGATGGTTCTTCAACAATTTCAGAAGTTGCAAAGGCAGTAGAAAAAACCATCAAGCACTATGATATTTTCCAATGTACAAATGTAAATATGGTATGAATGATTCTACTCCAAATTAGTTGATGATGGAGAAGTATTTTTAAACATTAACCAGATTTGTTTTTCAAAATTGTATGTAAATCATCATTTTATTTTAAAAATCTACATTTATTCAATGCACATATTGCAGAAATGTTTATTGTTTCACATGCTTCTATGACCATTATCATCCACAAAATTGTGCTTATGAAAAGCAGATTGAATAATGTTAATAAAAATGTCTTTTTTATTTGTTTAAATATAATCCTCTTACCAAATACATTATAAATAAATGTTAGTACAATCCCAGTATGTACTGTACATGAATATTTGAAAATAATTTTTAAATAAATATAATTAATTTATAATGGCAATAATAATGTAATAAATTAATCATTTTTAAAATCATTTGCTCATTTATGATTTTTCATATCACCATACAATCTTTTAAACAGATAACCCATGTTCAGTATCAGTATATTTCTAGTAAAGAATCTTGTATGATTGCATGAACAAATTACAATACAAAATAAAATGTATCAGGAAAATACCTTCTTGGCCCCTTCTACCACTGGTTCTGACACACACATGGGCATTTTTTCTGCAGTGGCAAATGTTTCACCAATTTCAAATTATCATCAATTCTTTAAACTTTTGCAAAATGTGAAAATGGCAATTGAAAGCAGAAACACCAGATGACTGCCTCAATAGATTAAGGCAACACATTCTCCAATTTGTTTTCAACAAATAAAACTTTTAGAAGCCTTCTTGAAAGCAACATCAAAATTAGCAAACAAAATAGTTACTCTCTAAATTTCTATTGAGTTTTATAAAATTAAAAAAACTTTCATTTGAAATGTAATACAGTAATATGTTCAAAGCATTATATTTACCAGAACAAGTTTTTGTACTGAATATAATAATATTCATTATTATTATAATATTTACAAAAGTTTCTTAGTACAAGTTAGACATTCAAAAATCCGGCCATAGATAATCTGGTTCCTTCAGACTTCCAGCATGGATTTTGGAGTGCATTTTCGAATTTACTGCATTGGCATGCCATTTTTTCTGGAGGCACTTAATTAAAATTCTGTAGAACTATTTTATTTAATGTTTAATTTTCTTTCTTTAAAGGATTATACAAGTAGTCATTTTCTGTTAAATACATACAGCATATATAACCATAAAAAATCCGGCACTCCTCAGGTCCGGAGATTGCCAGATTTTTTAATGTCAACCTGTATCATTAACATAAGTTATTCTCTGCTTCAATTCAAATAATTCACTTCAAATAATTCAATAATTCACAAATAATTCAATTCAAATAATCAACACACAGGAGTGTGTTGATTATTTGAAATAATTAGAATGGGACAATTTTGGATAACTGATTTTTCAGATAACCAATCGTACTTGGTAGAGAAAGAATATTTAAAGGTATACATTGTTTCACATATAATATCATGGTTGGGCAATGCATGGCATTTAGTTGAAGCTCTGAAAGTTGTATGCAGTTTAGGAGCCTGTTTTTATGAAGCATGGTGACCATGTCACAGATTCATTAAACAGTATGTTCTAAATAAATTAAATAATAAACTAAACACTTTTAAACAAGGAAAATGTAAGTTAAACACCTCAATAATTGGTAAATATGGTCTAAAAACACACCCGTACACAAGCCAGTATAAACTCAAAAATATTTCCTTTGTTTAGCAAACTCAAAACTCATTATCAAACAAGCTTCATTATAACAAAAATAGTTAATATAATCCCTCAATACCATGGAGAGATTTAACTATACTAGGCCACTTGTTGTATACTTTTAAGTTTGTTAATGGAAATATTCTTATTTTATTAATTATGCAATGTTCATTCAGTTATTTTTCTGTAGGAATACATTAATTGCACAGGGACATACATGAACCTTTAGTGGTTTTAAAATTTGATCTAAATTCTGTATTCAATTTGATGTTTTTTCTTTAATAGACTTATATAACCTGAGGATGTCCAACTGATATAGACAAAAAATATTTGTCTATATCAAAATATTGTTATATTAGATTATTTTTAATAAGAACTTTATATAAACTGCATTATAACTAATTGAGCATGATCACCATCAATAGCTACAGTACAACAGTGAATTGATTGCATGCTACAATCAAAAACAAGCATCATAAACCCACATTTGGAGTCATATTGTTCAAAGACAATGCCAGTTCACATGTTGCTGGAGTTGTCAAATATAAACTATGATGATTCAGACAGGAAACATTATCCCATCCATCATAGATACCTGATCTGTTGCTATGGAACTTTTGAATTTTTTGAACCCATGAAGCAAGTGCTGAAAGATAAGTTTCAAATCAGATGCAAAAGTTGCAGACATTGTTTAAGAATGATTTCTAAAGCCAACTAAAAGAACTCGTCCAGGAAGGAATATTTTGTTCAGTGACACTGATGAGGGGACAGCATGAAATTTGGGGTTACCGATTTTGATCAAACTCAGTGAGGTTATAGTGTGTCCCCAACAACTGAAATTTGCTAAGCAATAAGGCAGGCAAAATAATCAAAATTAAAGAAGAAAATTGAAGTTTAAAATTACAAATCTTTTAAAATCTTTAAAATTTCTGCCATTTGTATAGCGGCCAGTGGGTTAGAGGGGCCGCACTGGTTTTATAATCGTGAGGTTTGTATTTTGAATCTCAGTGGTATCAATGTATGTTTTTTTGGTTTCTTTTTTTGTATAAAATTATAATTCTTGATATTTTTAAATTTATAATATTATCAGAAAGAAAAACTAATTTATTTTTAGAAAGCTACAAATGCACAATAAACAGAATAGTAAAACAATGAAATCCATCTGTTTAAAGCAGTGTTTTTCAACCTGTGGGTTGCGACCCCCATGGGTCACACCCGTGAAAGGGGTTCGCGGGTGAAAGAAAAAAAACACATGTTTGTAGGTCCTACATTACAATAAAAAAACTAGAATTTCAGTGTGAAGGCTGTGCCTGTTTATTTTACAGTACAATTGGTTTTTCGATCGATATTTAAAAAAAGAAAATTAAATATGTAGTTTTTAAAATCACTGATATAGTTTTAATATGGCCCTGGGGGTCGCCAGAATTTTTTTAACTTGTAAAGGGGTTGCATATTCAAGAAGGTTGAAAAATACTGGTTTAAAGTAACAAGTCAATGTCAAAAGCAGTTAACAAATGCTTCCTAACAATATTTAAAAAAACATTTTCTGTATTTTCATATATAGTACATAATAACTCTAGCAATAAACTCATTGTTCAACCTAAATGCATGTATCTTAGTTTGCTGAAGAATGAAAAGATGACCTTAATATCTTGTGCTAGTATTAATAGCACAGAATAGTACGGATATTGTTCTGCACGACAATATTACTAAATTTACATATTGCAAAAGCAGCCTTCAAAATCAAAACCTAAATTGCAGTTGATGGTTCTTCAACAATTTCAGAAGTTGCAAAGGCAGTAGAAAAAACCATCAAGCACTATGATATTTTCCAATGTACAAATGTAAATATGGTATGAATGATTCTACTCCAAATTAGTTGATGATGGAGAAGTATTTTTAAACATTAACCAGATTTGTTTTTCAAAATTGTATGTAAATCATCATTTTATTTTAAAAATCTACATTTATTCAATGCACATATTGCAGAAATGTTTATTGTTTCACATGCTTCTATGACCATTATCATCCACAAAATTGTGCTTATGAAAAGCAGATTGAATAATGTTAATAAAAATGTCTTTTTTATTTGTTTAAATATAATCCTCTTACCAAATACATTATAAATAAATGTTAGTACAATCCCAGTATGTACTGTACATGAATATTTGAAAATAATTTTTAAATAAATATAATTAATTTATAATGGCAATAATAATGTAATAAATTAATCATTTTTAAAATCATTTGCTCATTTATGATTTTTCATATCACCATACAATCTTTTAAACAGATAACCCATGTTCAGTATCAGTATATTTCTAGTAAAGAATCTTGTATGATTGCATGAACAAATTACAATACAAAATAAAATGTATCAGGAAAATACCTTCTTGGCCCCTTCTACCACTGGTTCTGACACACACATGGGCATTTTTTCTGCAGTGGCAAATGTTTCACCAATTTCAAATTATCATCAATTCTTTAAACTTTTGCAAAATGTGAAAATGGCAATTGAAAGCAGAAACACCAGATGACTGCCTCAATAGATTAAGGCAACACATTCTCCAATTTGTTTTCAACAAATAAAACTTTTAGAAGCCTTCTTGAAAGCAGCATCAAAATTAGCAAACAAAATAGTTACTCTCTAAATTTCTATTGAGTTTTATAAAATTAAAAAAACTTTCATTTGAAATGTAATACAGTAATATGTTCAAAGCATTATATTTACCAGAACAAGTTTTTGTACTGAATATAATAATATTCATTATTATTATAATATTTACAAAAGTTTCTTAGTACAAGTTAGACATTCAAAAATCCGGCCATAGATAATCTGGTTCCTTCAGACTTCCAGCATGGATTTTGGAGTGCATTTTCGAATTTACTGCATTGGCATGCCATTTTTTCTGGAGGCACTTAATTAAAATTCTGTAGAACTATTTTATTTAATGTTTAATTTTCTTTCTTTAAAGGATTATACAAGTAGTCATTTTCTGTTAAATACATACAGCATATATAACCATAAAAAATCCGGCACTCCTCAGGTCCGGAGATTGCCAGATTTTTTAATGTCAACCTGTATCATTAACATAAGTTATTCTCTGCTTCAATTCAAATAATTCACTTCAAATAATTCAATAATTCACAAATAATTCAATTCAAATAATCAACACACAGGAGTGTGTTGATTATTTGAAATAATTAGAATGGGACAATTTTGGATAACTGATTTTTCAGATAACCAATCGTACTTGGTAGAGAAAGAATATTTAAAGGTATACATTGTTTCACATATAATATCATGGTTGGGCAATGCATGGCATTTAGTTGAAGCTCTGAAAGTTGTATGCAGTTTAGGAGCCTGTTTTTATGAAGCACGGTGACCATGTCACAGATTCATTAAACAGTATGTTCTACATAAATTAAATAATAAACTAAACACTTTTAAACAAGGAAAATGTAAGTTAAACACCTCAATAATTGGTAAATATGGTCTAAAAACACACCCGTACACAAGCCAGTATAAACTCAAAAATATTTCCTTTGTTTAGCAAACTCAAAACTCATTATCAAACAAGCTTCATTATAACAAAAATAGTTAATATAATCCCTCAATACCATGGAGAGATTTAACTATACTAGGCCACTTGTTGTATACTTTTAAGTTTGTTAATGGAAATATTCTTATTTTATTAATTATGCAATGTTCATTCAGTTATTTTTCTGTAGGAATACATTAATTGCACAGGGACATACATGAACCTTTAGTGGTTTTAAAATTTGATCTAAATTCTGTATTCAATTTGATGTTTTTTCTTTAATAGACTTATATAACCTGAGGATGTCCAACTGATATAGCCAAAAAATATTTGTCTATATCAAAATATTGTTATATTAGATTATTTTTAATAAGAACTTTATATAATCTGCATTATAACTAATTGAGAATATAATGATTTTAAATTTAGTTTAAAATAAAGTTTTTAATTTTAAACAACTTACCAAAAACATATTTTCACAGTGCCCACAAGATACTCTTGCCATGCCAGGAACATTGGTGGTACCTGGCGTAGCAGAAATTTGAGCCAACTGAATAATTTTTTTACTGAAATAAATAAAATTATTATTTCTTTAAATTTCATATATTAAGTTTTAAAAATAATTTTAATCATTCTGATATCAGAAATAAATTCAATCATATCTAACTATATTGCGAAATTTCAATTGTAATAAATGTATGCATTATAAACGTTGTGATATTTTTTTCATATTAAATCATTCACATATTAATATCATTGATGACATAAGCATCATAAACAAAATATAATTTTATAAAAAGTTTACTATGGTCTTTCTAATTAAGTTATTATATACTGTAATTTCATGTGAATAACCCATGTATTGTGTGTTTAAAAGTCAATTTGAAAGCAAGTATAGGTTATGCAATGATGCAAGTCATCTGCTAGTTTTAACTAAAATTAGTAACTCAAACAAGTTTTCTTTTTGTATCATTCTAATTGTTTTATCCTTCGTCCTTTCCTTTTCCTTTGTCTAAACATACCAAGAATGTCTTTAACAAACATGAAAAAGCCTTTACATACTACACATTTATCTACCATTATGATTTTTTTCTAAAACCACTGAAGCCATATATGACTCACCTTTTAGGTCTTTCACATAATATCAGTGCACACAAAACAGAATACGATATCAAATAAATAGCCTTTATTGAGCTATTAAGGCTAAAAAATTAAGTAATTTGGCAGGAAGTATGCAGTTCGGTTGCCAACTTTTGTGAAATTTAATAATTATAAGTTAATTTAATTTTAGAATATTCTGGAAGACAAAAAATTGGCCAAAAGCAGAACTTGAACTTTTACCTGCTTACTGATGTGGTTATATCTAATTATTTAATTAATTAATTAGTCTGGAAGCAAAGTTCAGATAGAGATCTGGATAGCATAACTGACAATGCATATGTATGGTAATGAGGAATTGTGGGTTCAAGTCCTGCTCCAGGACAATCTTTTCTTCCTAAATATTCTAAACTTAAAATGTATTTATTTAAAGTTATTAATTTAACAAGAGATGGCAGCCTATCTATCTATCTGCCAAATTACTTAGTAATTATTTAGCCCTGATAGAGTTATTGGTCTATTAAGGCTAAATAAAGCTAGTCATTTGATATTTGAAATAATTATTGGGTTGACTGTATCTATTACAGAATATAACAAATTAAAAATCATAATAATGCTCTAGAAAACTGAATGGTTTGATTTAATTCTACAGATGTAAAATATTCATTGTTCTATAAATTCTGTTATTGCTTTTATAAACTATTGACTTATACTTTTGTAACTTCTACATATTTGAAGTGATTTAATAAAAATCTTAAAGCAAGAATAAATTCATTAATCCATTAATTTTTACCCAAGAAAAGTGTCATATTTTATGTCTATTGGAGTTTTAAGTATTTTTAAAAATTTTATTTATTATTTCATTATTTAATGAGACAAAATTGTATTCTAAATTAAAGTGACAGAAAAAATAATTTATTCTTGTTTATTCTTATGTGTTATTAGTTATTCCTTGGTTAAGATAATTAAATAATAAATAAATAAAATCTAATAATTTTCATACCAATTTGGTCTTGGACAAGAAATTTTTTGTGAAGTAGTTTTGCAAATAAGCAAACAATTACAAGGACACCTCACATACTTCTTCCCGGGTGGCGGCGTTTTAATAGGCTATATACATAAATAAAAAAATAAACTTGTTATTACATCTATATAAGATTATCAAAAATTTCATTTGCAATTTTCACAAATTAATTTGCATTCATTTACAATAATAAAAATTAGAGCACAGTCATTTTTATTTACTGTGCTTTAATTATTGTTCCTTGATTTTCATAAATTCAAAGCCATTTGCAAGAAGATACTATAATCCAAGTAATTTATTTTTTTTGCTTTGTTGTTGTTTTGTCATTCTCGCATTGTTTTCTCATTTTTGTCACTATCGCATTGGCTTTTTTATTTTAACCTTATTGAATTTTTTTCTTTTTTTTAATTACTTTGAATTGTTGTAATGGGAAGTAGCAAATATTGTCTGAGAGACATTGCTAAATAAAATAAAAAAATAAATAAATTTAATTAAATTTTTATTTTTAAAACAAGTCACAAACTGACTATCATTATCAATGAATCCAAACCTTTGTTAATTAACCAGAACAAATTCTAATTTAATAAGTACAAAAGTTCATTCACTTATAAGTTGATACACTTTATTCTGTAACAAAAATAATGCAAAATATCAAAAACAGAATCAAACTACAAGGGTAAAGTCAAAAATATATTTACTATCTGCTGTTTCAATTCCCACCAAACGTTTGATTATTTTACCCCTATATTTGAAATTGTAATATGTTTTGATATGTTCTGTTCAAGGGCAGTTACATGACATCTGTGAGACACCCTAGCACATTTTTCAACATTTCTTATATTTAAAATTTTATAAAATTCTGAAAAGTTCTATTCTCCTAACTTCAACTTGAATGATGTGCAGCTAACACATTTTGCAGTGCACAATTACTTTTGAGAAAAACCACTGGCAGTACAGTGCAATTGTTATGTCAGGATCATGCCTAGATGGTCAACTATTGCTTTGAATGAGTGTGACACGATGCAATAGCAATTTAAAATTAATTTATTCTTACAAGATTACTATTCCTTACACTTCTTTATTTTATACAACAAAAATAAGTTCTAATTCATTTTAAACGGGAGCACTGCACTATATGCAACAACAAGATACAGTAAGTGCCATGTTATTGCATGTCCTGCAGGGAGACAAAAATGAAAAAATAATTTTAACAACACAAACTATTAAAATTGTAAAATTTTCATAACTTTTTAAATTATACACTTAGTAATTTATGCTGTTGAGTATCAACCATGCATTACTTCTTCAATTACTTCACATTTCTCATATAGAAAAGCATTCCTGATTAAACAATCTGCAAAAAATTTTGATATTTCCTGTAATATTTTGAGCAATATTAACTTTTTAATTAAGATAATCAATTTTTGATAACTACATGACTATATTGCATAAAAAATTAAAATACAATTAAAATAATCAGTTCTGACAACACTGGTTGTTTATGACATGCTAAAGAAAACAAAATTATCATCATATGAAGTGTTCCAGCAGTATGTATTTCATTTTGCTTTTAATGATCAGAAACCTAATAGCTTTAGTTGTATATTTAAGACAGTTCAGATCTGGAAAAAAGAGATCTTAAATATACCTCAAATTATCTTTCCACTAGGCTCAATTACAATCCTACCATCCTAGTTTCCTACAAAAAGAAAAACTACACAGGATAGTTCACTTTAACATTTACTAAGAGCACAAAAAGATCTTTCCAACATTGCACTAGTATATGCATAGCTTATGGTACAGTACATTGCAATGTTTATAGTAAAATAAGTTAATTTTTTCAAAACTGGGACAGGCATAAAATGCATGGTAGTTTCACAATAATTTTTAACTTTTCCCATCTTTCTAAAGCACAAAGATAAAGGAACAATCATTTTAAGATTTAGCATAATGTATAAAAAACATGACTCTAAAAGTATAAATGAGAGAGCATTACAAAGCAATGCAAAATATCAGGGTTGGTCCATCAAACTGTCAGGACCATTAAAATTTAAATATAATACAAAATTTTAAACACACACAGATTAACACATAACATAAACAATAAAAATAAAAACAGTAAGTTATCATTTAAATATAAATTTCTAAAATTCAGACAAAAATAACTTTCTATTTAAATACAATTAAAGAATTACATACCAAACTTTTCAACTGAAATTACACAGTTATTAATACAGTACGCATTCACTAATCTGGCCACTCCTCACACAAAGGAGTGTCAGATTACCAAATGTATAGGTCTAAATGCAATGAATGATGATATTGAAAGGCAATGGGTCACAAGAAAGCAGGAAAGTAAATAACAAAGTGTACTTACATATAAGATTTAAAACTGAGTAAACAAAAAAATGTGATGTGTGACATGACTAAAATTTTCAAGGAAACTAAAAATTTTCATAGGTAATCACAATGGACACTTTGCAAAATAATTAGCAAGAGTCTACTGTATTCTAAAACAATACCACTAGGAGTTTGCAAAAGAAAAAATTAATAATGGTGGATGTAGGTGTACTGTAAGAATATTTGAAATCTGCATTGAGGCCTTTGGTGACATCATGGCAGGCACTTAATGCTTAGTTTTAAATAAAAATATGAATTGTATTTTTATTATATTTATCTGTGTTCTTTCTCTAATGCTTTTCAATTTAAAAAGAATATTTTTACATGTAATTGTTCAGCACTGTATAGCTGACCAAGGTGACACTGAGGAACACACAAAAGAAAACTTAGTGAAAATATGAAATGGGAAATAAACCTTAAAAAATGAGCTGCCAAGAGGTTTACAAAGTCAAAAAAAGTTGGGAGACGCTGTTCTAAAACATATGCAAAGGTACAAATTAAAAACTAAGTTATATTTTCGTATATGCTTTATGTTATTTTAGAATATGGACAATTTATGTTATAAATTTGGTTATCTTCAATAACCAAATTTAAATTACAAACAAGCATAATTCATTAAAAAATTATAATAGATTTGCATTTTTATCTCCTAATTGATTAATATGACTGTTGTTAATTTATGATACTAACTTATATGAAGCAAGATTACATTCCTAGAAATATGACTAACTGTAACATATCAAACAGAAATGATTACCACAAAAATATTATTTTCATTGACCATTTCTATTTAGTATAATATAATCTTTTAACTGCTTCATTGCAGAACACAAATTAATCTTTATTCACACATCTGCAACAAATTAAAAAACATTGAGTGAAACTTTTGAGAACAATAATAAAGTAGATCATCTTTTAAATCAACACATTTATCCAAATGGAAAAGTAAAAACAGGATTAACCTTTTTGAGGCAGCTCTCATGCCCTAAAAAGATACAGTGGAACCCCGGTTAACGAACGTCCTGGTTAACAAACTTTTATTTTGCAAAAATTTTGTCTCGGATAATGAACTTAACGGTTTTTTGTGTCAAATTTGTAAGCTTGCCGACTTTTAGGGAAAATCAGTTAATCCTGTGTCGGTGATGGTCTAGGGTCCATTCGTACGTTAGTGGTGGTGGAAGAGACAAAGATGACAAGTATTTTACAGTGAAAATCGTTTATTAGAATGGGAAGATGCTTACATATTTGAGGTAGTTGGAAATGGCTTATCTACAGTATTTTCTCTCAGCACTGAAGAGTGGCGTATCGCTGGTCCTACAATAGTGCAAGCTGATCAGTCATAGCCCCAGAGCAGACGAGATGGGTTCGCTTGGTCACAGAAGCGATGGTAGGTGACAGAACTGCAACAACTGGAGCAGTCTGCGAGGCACAATACAAATTTTAGTGGGCACGACTTCAGGCTTAATCCAGATGAAAATGACACAGATTAATCGCCATAGAATTTTTAGGAAAACTGCATTTTGACCTTGAGATTCGGGGTTTTTATAGTATTTCTTCCTTGAATCTCACCTTACAATTAGTCCTGTGTCCCATTCCTCGCTTACCAATTGTTTTCTTCTTTGTCTCCAGGTGAAAACCGAAACCAGATCAGGTCACGAGAAAGGTTTGTTCCAAGGCGTTTATTTGACACCTGTTCATCGACTTCTGATCAGAGATTGTTGATAAACCTATAAGCCTTTCGCTCATAATTTAGCCTATTGTTTCTGCTATCTGTCATTTTAGAACTTTAACAATTGAATGTGACGTTTTTATACCCATCAAATCTTTCCCCTTTTCCAAAAATTTAACCTAGATCAACTGTTTGTGAGCACGGTTTCCTACATTTTCATTAAAGAAAACCCATTTTACAAAAAAAATTACAAAAATACTGACGGCTAGAACAAATTAATTGTATTTGCATTAATTTCTATGGGAAAAATTGCTTTGGTTAACGAACGGACTCGTGGAACAGATTATGTTCGTTAACCGGGATTCCACTGTATTGGAATTATTTTTGACCCCTACAACACTATTCCTATAACTATCATAACCTTCAGTTTAAACATGTCATCTCATATTTTCTTTGGCCACCATTCTTTTGTAATATACTCCTAGTTTAATCTATTGATGAAATTTTAAGATTAAAATTCAAAATAAACATTTTTCAATTTTATTCAAATTTTTTCATAAAAATTTTTCTTGCCATTTTTGTCGTCAAAATTATTATTATTATTATTATTATGTGGGTTATACTCGGTTGACACCAGTGGCTGTGTACTATGCTGGACCAGAGTCAAGGCATAGCAACCAAAAACTAAAATTAAATAAGTGTGTCAGTGTCTGTATTCAGGAATTTCCTAACAATGTGGCATGTATTCAATATAGTGGCCTTCTGTAGTGTGATGTAGGTATTTCTATTCAATTGTAATGCTCCCAGGCTTTTGTGTAGCATGTGTGGTATCACACCTGTACAGGAGAGAACAACAGGTACAATAAGCACCCTATCCATCCTCCACAGATGCCTTATTTCCTGGGAGAGTTCTGTGTACTTGCTAATTTTTTCAGTGCAAGTGTTTTGTACATTGTGAGTGCTTGGAATGGCTATGTCTATAATGTATGCAATTTTATTGTGTTTGTCAATGATTGT